AGTTTGTTGACTAGTAGCCATTTGTTTGCCTACAACTGAGGACATGAGACTAGAAGTTGTCAGGCAGCAGCAGACTAATTGCAAGTTGCACATTAGACATTTTTAACAAAGATAGATTCATTTTTGTAAATTGGAAAACACCACTGACATGTACAGTGCAAGATCAGCAAGAGATGGAAGGGTCCAGTCTTGTCCACATGGGTCGCCAAAATCAACATAACCCGAAAGCTCCTCACAGGAGCTTTAAATCGTCTCAACTGTGACTGATTCGCTTACAGAAAAAACTAACAAGCTCCATCTATTGTTTAAAACCCTGAGATGTTGTTGAAAGCTCAGAAAAAAGGCTCATAAGTGGACCTTGAGCTGAGATTATTTGTAGACGCTGAAGTGCCATCTCTTAAACATGGGGGTCTAATCTGACAAGGATTCAGGATACAAGCGTCTTATTAGTGGAGGTCTGGTGTAGGTGTTGTGGTGCCGCAGGTGGACAAGGGTGAGGTTAAGCGCCTGAGTTTTCCCTTAGTGCCTTTTTCTTTTATATGGGGTCAATGAAAGAGGGACTGGGTGTCTGTCCACCTGCTCACATGTTGAATTTAAGTCAAAATAAAGACGGCAGCTGCTCATTTAAAAAAGGAGAGCTGTTGATGAGTTTAAGGTGTGCACATGAAACACCAGGAAGATTCATGTTCATCACCTGGGTGTGGTTTTTAAAAAAATAATCCAACAGAATTCAATCAAATCAGGTTGGTCAAAAGCAAAAAAAAAGGATTACATAGTCGGATAAGATCAGGGTCTCTCAAATCCTGGTTATTGTCCTGATCAAACACCTAGTTTGTGTTATTTGAACTTTAAAATAGGATTGTGATCAAAAAGATCAGGATCGTTCTGATCCAAGCAGAGGGCTGGATTCAAGTGGAAATAATGTCAGAAAAACAAAAGTCAAAATCCGGGTTTGCTTTAGTGAAAAAGTAGGTATAGATAAGGGTTTTATAAGCAATACAGGACTTTTGTTTGCATTAAACCAAACAGCATACATGTCAAACAGATATTTAATTTAAAGCAGCTATGAGGATCTTTCTGTTTGGGTGGATTTTGGCGCCCCCTGTGGACAAAGAATGTAGTATGAAGTCCCATTTAAAGCTCTGATAAACAGGATTTGGTTATCCTTAATTTTTTTTTTACCTGGATCAGGGTGATACATCCAGTTTTCTTATGAAAAACCAGGATAAAAGTAAGCTTGATTAAGTGATCCCTGGTAGAATAAAAGTGGATTACCAAATCTGGATAATTTATTTTAAATGGGAAAAACCTTTTGAACAACTGGACCATGAAGAGGTAAACTGTAAAATTGTAATCTCTAACTCCTAGGGGAGTAGATCAATGCAGAAGATGTTAAAAAAAAATCAAGATCTACAAAAATTGACTCACAAGAAAGTAAAGTCCTAGTAGCTCCAGAGTGTAAAAAAGTATTTTCACAGAAGTCGTTTCCGATATATTATTCTTGTTTTTATTTGAGGAAGATCATCTGCTGCTGCTGCCAGGCAACCATCATCATAATGACGCCATATTTACGTTTTTAAAGATAAATGGTTAGTTTACACAGACAGGATCAGTTTGACAACATCCACCTTAGTCACCCTAGGTAAAACTCTCCTTTAACTTCAACGCTCTCTTTGACCCAGAGTCTTCACCTTTCTCGAAGACTTCAGGACATAAAATCAGAAGAAACACTCGTTCTAGTGGGGCCAACATGAAGCTAACCGATTAACACTTCAATGACAGAAAATGAGACGTAAAAAAAGAAATAAAGAAAACTCATATCAGCTGGAGTGTTCCCAGTTCAGCTCTTTAAAATCATTAGCACGTGGCTAATCTCTAAATTTAAGGACACTAGCTAGCAAAATTATAAAATATCAAAAGAATAAAAAAACAACTGTTAGTATGTGAATTTGAATCTCTAATTTGCTAGGTGTTCGTAAGTCATTATTTTTGTGGGCTTGTTAGAAGCTAATTATGCCAATTAGTAGACTGTTTGTAGTCCAAATGGGTTGATAGCGTTTTCATGAGCTAACTAGCATGTCAGAAGGCTAAGCAGGTTAACTCCTTAGCCCTTTGAAAGAATGCTTGCCAATACTTCCAGAAAGCTTAAGTTGGAAAAGGAGTCACCAAGTTTGCAGGCTAGTTAGCAACCTGTTGGTAGGCTAACTGGCAGACTTCTTAAAGCCTAAATAAGGCTCGACTAATTTAAAAAAAAAAGGGACCATCACCAAAGTGTGAAGGTAGCTACCTCAGATTGTTGGCGAGCTAAATTGTCAGCCTGCCCAAAAATTTGCAAATGGTTTATGAAACTGGCAAAACTTTTTAACCACTTGTAGATAATTTCCAGACTTCCAAAACACTGATAAATCAAGTAGATTAGACGGTGAATGTGTTTGTAGTTTAGAACCATAGACTGTATATTTAAAATGGTGGGAGTAACAGTCACCTGAGACTAAAGCCAAGAGAGGGAGGTTTTGGCTTCACTTTTTACAACAGGAGGATTCTGGGATGTGATGTCCATATTAATACAGTTAATGCTTCGAGGCTAGTTACTAGGCTGGAAAAACTAGTTTTTGTATAGTTGGTCATAATTTCTTCACGCTTTATTGGAAGGCTAATTGGTGGAATATTTGTTGGTGGTTTGCTATTCCGACCACTGATAGCCTAATCAACACCTCATTGCCAGCAGAAACCAGGAAGTTGGCAGCCTCAAATTGCCTATCTGGTTACAATTACAAGGCAGGGGACTGGCAAATTGTTTTACAACAGGCTTATAACCAAGATTTACAGTTTTTACATTGATGTGGTTATCCTGTGAGTGTCAGTCTAGCCAGCCACATATTGGTAGGTTATGTAACGCTTAAGATTTCTGGTAGGTCAGATGTAGGTTGCTTTGGACAAAGCGTCTGCTAAATGAAGAATTGTAGGTTTATGCTACTATCTGCTCATGGCTAAGTCATAAAACTATCTAGCACTCTTATCAGCCGGAAGAGGATCACGGTATGTTAACTCAGATTTTAAGCTACTGAAATGGTGTTATTGGGTTTCTTTTTTGTTTACCAAATAAATGTCTCTCAGGAGACTAGTTAGCATGTATCAGAAGACTGGTTAGCAGGCTGTTGGTTGGGCAGGACGTTGTAAGCTCAGGATGACGCTGGGCGTTAAGCTGTGCGCCAGACGGGATCGGACACGTCGACGATGCCGTGGGTTCGAGTCTGCTCAGGTGTTGTTCAGGAATGATGCAGGAAGTTTTAGTTAATTTCTTTCAGAAACAAAAATCCTTTTAATAAATCAAACTAACTCAGTCCTGTTCGTACTGGAATCATCATCATCATCAGCCGTCCATATTGGAGGTCTTGATTAGTTTCCTGCAGGCTTCACTGCTTCAAAACAGGATCCGTTCAGGCTGCATCGCCTCAGAGCAGAGGAGAAGAGGAGGAGGAGAGGAAGGAGATAATCTAGAGGAGGGGAGGGGAGGGGGGAGGTGTTCAGGGCTGTGGAGTCAGAGAAATCAGTCCCTTCTGACCTTCCTGTTCCTGGGAGATCTCCGCAGACGGTCGCCCTCCGACTTCTAGGGGGAGAGGAATCAACGTGATTTTTTTGTTACAGAAACATTTCCAACAAATTTGTGTAGTTTAGACAGTGTGCAGGAGTTGCTATTTGCTTTTCATGTATTCATTCCTCTCCTACGCACCTGTCTTATGAAATAGATGTAGTTTTTTTAAAGGTTCAGATCTTTTCAATACTATCAATCATTAAAACAGAGACTGTATCGATTGCAACTATTATAACTGTTTTATTTTTCAATAACTTAATCATGTACTGAAATATTATCCTCTCATCAATCTATGCACACTGCGTATGTAAACACTGTAAAAACTCAACCTCATTAACCTTCTGTTACATAACTATATATTTATTATCATGTTCATCTCAGCATGTTTTGCACTACTCACCACTGCACTATTGTCTTATTTAGCCTTGTATATTAGTGTTTTTTTGTTATATTATGTTTAATTTTTAACTTTGTACATTGAGAGCATAGTTATTGAAGACAAATTCCGTGTGTGAAAGCATACATGGCCAATAAAGCTGATTCTATTAAAAACCCGAAAAGTAACATTTCAAGAACCTTAATTTAGTTTCATATATACATGTTCAAAAACATACTTTTAATGATAGTGATTGTTTCCATATCCTCTGTAGCTGAAGTAACTCATAATTAGTTGCTTGCCATAAAAATCCAAATGTTCCCACAAAAGAATTCACAATAAAAGCATCAGAATACATCATTAAACTGTCATCTAAATGCAATAATCTAAAAGTTTTGGCCCTAAATATCATCGGAAGATGATGTGAATTTTAAAAATAATCCTGTAAAACAATAACATTTCTTAATTTGTAATGATCGACAGTATCAAAAAGCTGTGGTTTCTTTTACAGCTTTATTTTTAGGCACTCCTCCGCACTGTCTATATTGCACACAATTATTGTTGTATTTGTACATTTTAAACGATGTGCTGGAGGTCCCTCGGATTTTTATTTAATTACAATCAATAAATTACCCAATATTGGTGCATAGAACTTCTATTTTTGTTTCCCTGGTATCAAAAAATTTAAATATTGTATATCCATAGCTTTTTACTGGAATCATATCCAATACTAACATTCTGGTATCGTGACAACACTACAGGGTAAAGAAAAGAAAAGTCTCCTTACATCGTCAGCTGTCGCCTCGTTCTCACCCTCCTTCACTGCTTCGTCGTCGTCTTCTTCCTCCTCTTCCTCCTCTCCCTCCTCTCCCTCCTCTCCCTCTACAGGACTTCCCTCTCCGTCACTCTTCTCTTCTGCAGCTGAATGAAAAAGATTTTAAATCACTCAGAGCCACTCTGACACCACAGGAGACAACAGTTTTCTGAAATTTTAATGTTGTATCAACCTGTACTGCTCTTCTTGGCCTCTTCAGCCTTCTCTTCCTCCTCCTCCTCTTCCTCCTCTTCTCCCTCCTTCACATCAGGCTGAGCCTCATCGGTCTTCTTGTATTCTGCTGCAGGTGTCGCTGGGCTCTTTTTCTGCGGAAAAAAAACAAACAGGAAAACAATTCAAGCCGACGTCAACGAATCAGACCACTTTGTAAGTTAGAAAGCGGGCTGCAATCATCTCGCAAAGTGCTGTAAGCAGGCGACCAAGGCAATCTATGCACATGGGAGAGACACCATTGTCCCTGCTGAAAGTTATTATACTATTAGATCGACTTTAAAACTACTATTTCAGGTGAAAAAGTTACAGATTGTTGCTTTAAGTTCAAGTCTGAAATGTTTTATTAACATGAAATAAACACTAAACAAATGAAGCTGAATAAGACTTGAAACTCTTGTGTAAAACATTTTTGTCAATGGAGTCTGGTGGCTTTGATCAAAAAGGTCTCTCTGTAGAGAACATTTGTTGTGAGGTTTCTCGAGATGAATTATGTTTCACAAAGCCACTAAAACAACAAAAAGACTTGTCTACACCACAGAAGCACAACTGCACCAGCATCAGCACAAATACACAAACAAACACAAAGCTACTCTAACAGTGGTAGCGTCAGTCACCAGGCCTGAGGGCGCGGAGCGGTTTGGATGTACAGCTTCCTTTAAGTCTTCCTGTAAGCTGGTGAGACTCAACTGACCCTGAGCTGATCCTGACGACCTCTGTGGACAGTCACACAAACATCAGGAGAAGGTACAGTACACACCAGCGTCTGGATCCTATCTCAAATCTGAACTTAAAAGTAATCTAACAGTACTTACTCTCCAGGTAAAAAGTCTTATCTATCTGGCAGGCCATGTGTGTATAAGTGTGTGTGTGTGCGTTACCTTTCCGGTGCAGCAGAAAACAATGATGAGGACAAGCGGTAGAGCCACAGTGAGGACATAGACGACCCAGAGCCACGGGCGCTCCTCTGCAGCGTTCAGCATCTGTGTAGCAAGACCGGGCTGCAAAAACAAATTTTACATTAAAATCACACAAAAACAAAGATATCCTCCATCATCATAACAACAAATATAGATACAGCAACAACAAGACAGGCGCTTGTGGAAACACTGTCATAAAAGCTGTGAATTGTCACATGAAGCGAATAAAAATATATACGTATACAGTATATATAAAAATTATATAACACTGAATAGACTGTGTAAACTAATAAATAAACCCCATAAAATAAAGAATTCAGGCATGTCTCACTCAACGCGTCATCCAGAATTTCAGACCTCTCAAGTAAAAATAAGACTTCTTGCATATCAGCAGGAAACCTTTTTCAAATGTTCTACAAAAATCATCTTAATCTATTCCCCTTCTTAAATTCTGCCCAACAGCTCCACGATTAAAACCAGAAACATCATTTGAGTTTTCATTTTATAGCTTATTAATGTTTGCTTTTACGCGTGTGCACTTCATTGTTCAATACTGTGGAATAAAACTGAATCTTTTTTTTTTGTAGTTTTAGACCAATCAATCAATAAAGACCCCTGAACCACCCACCTCAGCAGCGCCCTCTGCAGCCTTCTTTAACCCCCAGCCGTCTGTAGCCCAGCGTTCAGCTGTGTTTCGGTCGTCGGTGATGAAGAAGTTGTCGAAGAAGATTTCGGAGGTCATGGACCACAACTCGAGCCCGACGGCGCTGAACGGGGTCATCTTGAATGGCTGCAGGTCCTCGAAGAACGCCGGGTTGGGGATCTTCCTCGGCTTCCACACGCCCTGAGAACAGAAACGACCTCCAGTATGAATCCTCAAACTACCGGCCAACTAAGACTTCAGCCGATTATTAAATCTATTGTGCAAAAGCTATACATCAGGGGGGTTTCCTGACATACCTGGTAGTTGGGGTTATCGATCATGGGGGACTTCCACTTGCCCTTGTAGTTAGGGTTGTCGATCATTGGTCGTTTCCAGGCGCCACAGCCAGGGGCAGTCTCGCAGGCGGGGTTAGGGACCTGAGGAGCCTCCCACTCTCCGTCCATGTCCTCGTCCCTGAAAGACATGTAGACTTGAGAGTCAGAGGGGGCTGAGCTTTATTTATCGGGGTTTTTGTCCTCTGATGTTTAAACTCACCAGTCTTCAGGTTTGACCGCGTCGGGGTCTCCAGTGTACTCCAGCTCGTCATCTAACCAGCCGTCTGGTTTCACTGCGTCTTCATCTGGAACCTGAGCGGGTGCGTCCTCATCCCTAAAGACACACAGACGTACTCTATAAGTAAATATAAATCAAAGCATCCACAGATCTTGGCAGCAGTCTCAAATATAAATCTTTATCATGACAGAAACTATTAGGTTAGACATAGGTAGCAGAGTTTCTCACTATTTTTGGGATCATTTCTGGACAACTGCTGGCCAAAACAAACATATTCTTGGATGATTAGCAGATTTTTTTTTAAATGTTTAGTAGCTGGTGGCTATTAATAAAATATCATAAAATCCATGGTTCATTCAGAATGACCTCCAATACTTATAATTTTATTTTCTCTCATCTCTTAACAGAGGACATTTATTCAAACTGTGGCACCATTTTGTATCAAATAAAATCTTATTTTCTCATGAAGTCCTTTAATTTTGATATTAGTCATGTTTTAATCCTTTCTGCTCTCGCAAACTGTTAACAGGTCTTTTAAGAAATTGTTTCCATCATAACTGTCGTTGTGCACTGACCAGTCTTCGGGCTTGGCAGCGGCAGGGTCCTGGATCTTAGGTCTCTCATCCCAGTCCTCGGGTTTCTGGTCGTCAGGGTCCTCGATTTCAGAGGGAGGGTTCACAGGGGGGGTCATGTCTGTCAGCAGGCTGCCGCTGTTCACCACCGTCTGATCCACGAGCACCTCGAAGGTGTTATCAGGGTTCACCACTGAGAGGCGACAGAGAGACAAGTCACACACCTGGACCATCATAAACAAGTATCTGTTTTTAACCAGTGTGTACAGGTGTGTGTTACAGAGTGTGTTTAGAGGTGTGTGTGTTACAGAGTGTGTATAGAAGTGTGTGTGTGTTACAGAGTGTGTATAGAAGTGTGTGTGTGTTACAGAGTGTGTATAGAGGTGTGTGTCTGTGTTACAGAGTGTGTATAGAGGTGTGTGTGTGTTACAGAGTGTGTATAGAGGTGTGTGTCTGTGTTACAGAGTGTGTATAGAAGTGTGTGTGTGTTACAGAGTGTGTATAGAGGTGTGTGTCTGTGTTACAGAGTGTGTATAGAGATGTGTGTCTGTGTTACAGAGTGTGTATAGAAGTGTGTGTGTGTTACAGAGTGTGTATAGAGGTGTGTGTCTGTGTTACAGAGTGTGTTTAGAGGTGTGTGTGTGTTACAGAGTGTGTATAGAAGTGTGTGTGTGTGTTACAGAGTGTGTATAGAGGTTTGTGTGTTACAGAGTGTGTATAAAGGTGTGTGTTAGAGAGTGTGTGTTAGAGAGTGTGTGTTACAGAGTGTGTGTTACAGAGTGTGTGTAGAGGTGTGTGTTATAGAGTGTGTGTTACAGAGTGTGTGTTACAGAGTGTGTATAGAGGTGTGGTTGCATTACCGAGTGTGTACAGATGTGTCTTCTTGTCGGTGAAGTAGGTCCTCAGGTCGGCGTCGGGTTTCTTGGCGTGTTTCTCTTCGAACTCTCCAGTTTTGGGGTTTTTATGTCTGAAGATGAAGTGCAGTTTGTAATCCTCTCCACACTTGTCTGGTCCGAACATGATTGTGTACGGAGTTTTATCCACAAACTGGTCCTGAGGAAACAGACACACACAGAACTCAGCTTCTAGAAGATTTAAGGTTTTCTTTCTGATACAGTGTGTTTTAAAATGATACAATTTCTGTTATTTCAATGATTCAGTATCAAAAAGTACCTAAGCTTTAAAAAAAAAAAACTCCCAATCTTCAGTCAGATTCTTAACCCAAAGAGAAACAGCTCTGTCTAAATTGCACACACATCGGCAAAGTTTTGGTTTTAGTAGTTTGAAAAATAAGGTCTCTGGATGCTAGGCAGAATATATCAAATTCACCTTTAAAGATGAAGCACATAAGTGTGAATTTAGCCTGAGATTACAGATTCAGTTCAGGAAAGGCCCTCAGAATAGTGACATGACAATAGAATCAGATCCTTGCTCTTAGTTTAGTCATAGCATCCTGTGCCGTTAACTGATATGTGGTCATTATGGCATGCTATTATAAGTCACACTGACCAGGTCAAGTTCAGGAGTCTGAGTCAGCAGCTTCACGTAGGCGCCGCCGCAGTCGATACCTGACTGGAAGTTCACCTCGTACCTGAGGAGAGAGAGAGAGAAATGAGAATGTTTATGAAACAGGTCCGAACGGTAAATTAACACAGTGATGAAGAGGATCGCTGAGGAAGGAGAAGTGTCGTGTATTGCAGGAATGTTGCAAGTCATTTAGTAACCGTTTCCGCCTGCAGGTCATTTCATTCTCGCTGTTTGTTTCTTGCTATCATTTCTGACTCGTCAGTTTAGACCTATGACTCAGCTGAGTCACAGTTCAGAGACTGGGAGTGCTTCGCTGCTTTCAAATCATTTCAGTTTTACATTCAAGCAGAAGAGAATGATGATAACAGTAAAGAGCATTTCAACTTTGTGACAGCCTCTGACTTTGTTTTTAAATCTGTTAACTATCTGTTGATTTGTGTACAGACACAGCGGGGACAGAAGAAGAAGAAGAAACGTTGTTCTTACTGGATAATGAGCGGCTTAGAGTCAAAGGGAAAAGGTCTCAGGAGCTGAGCGGAGATGGCGTGATGTTTGGCTCGGGACTTCAGGACCAGACCTTTATCACCAGGCAGCTTACTGTCCTTCATCTCCTCCACCGACCATTTACCTGTTCAACATCATCATCATCATCATGCAACAAAATGTATGACTGTGTGCCTACTTATAGTGTAAGGAGACTAGGACATGTTGTAGATTTATAGCAGTGTCTTCATATTTTGTATAATATGATCTTTACGTACCATCATATTTTGCGATGTCTTCATCGGCACCCTCCTTCTTTGCACTGGACACGACCCACCTGAAACACACAGATGGCTGTTTAGTCGCTTGAAATAGGTCTCATAGCTGAGCTCGCTAGTCTCACATTCAGCAATACTGAGGTGTCTAATCGAGAAGTTGACCACACTCACATGCTTTTAAAACATTTGAACAGTTTGATATGGTACAGAGAGATGTCCCATATTACCCATACTGCATCCTGAGAACATTCTGCGTAAGAAGACAAATGATAGAATTTGAAATGCAGGGCTTGTGTGAGTAAAGTGTGCTCACCCGTCAAGAGTCCCCCGGTCAAAAGATTCAGCGATGTAATGTTCCCCGACTGGCTCTGGTGCTTTGTAGGTCACCTGAAAACAGACAGGTAACGAATGTTAAACAACATTTTCTTTTTAACAGTACAGTCGTTGATGCTGCTTGAAGTGATCAGTGAGTGTCGGTCAGCAGCTCTTTCTCCTCTCGTTCAGTGTGTAGCAGGCAGGTGAGAGTGAGTAACCATGGTGACTGTCTGTCAATCAACGTTGTACAAGTGTTTAACAAGTCCACATGTTTTCAAATGAAGCATCACTGTGTGAAAATGTACCTCAAGAACACAAAGACATTTTTGGTGCAAAAATTGTTCTGGGGAGACTTCCAGAGCCTCCCATGTAGTCTGCATTTTCCATTTTTTTTTTTTTACAATCAAGGTTTTATTGGAGCAGAAAATATTATACTGAAACAGGTTTAATTGTTATTTATTTGATGTCTTGTTGTGTTTCTGTTTCAGGTGTGAATGCAGGTCAGTAGAAAAGCAGGTCAGTACACCGTTTAGTTGTAATACTGAACTCTTGATCTGATTGGTTAATGAGTCAGAGAAGCTTCCTGGAAAACATTCAAACACCTTCTGATAAAAGCATGCGAGTGCCGTTTATTTGAATATATTCTGATAAGAACAAAGTCTATATTTATATTGGTCGTATTCTGAGCAGTTCTGGGCTGTAAACTTTAGACTTTGAGCTCACAGGAATGAAGAAATAAATATTTCTAATGTTTTATATTTACATTTGAAACAGCATTTGACCAGTGTATGATCAGTGTTGCACCAGAGCTTCTGCACCATTTTCATGTTTTTGTATTATTTTTTTCTGTGATTAAAATAATCAGCAGGTTATTCTAGAAAAAGGGATACAACTCATTAAATAAAACAACATGAAGTGGTCTCTTCTTGAAGAATTAAAATGCCAAAAACTTAATCTTGTCTCATCCCACCTTGTAATTGTAAAGGCATTTTAATGGTTTAAAAAGAGCGTACCTTGTTGTCTTGTGATTCTTATTTTACCAACACCCTGGGGTCCCAGGAAGGTTTAAGTTCTTGGTTTTCTAATTCTACTGCACAGATTTTAAACCCTCTGTGTTTGCAGTCTTACTTTTGGTACAGGAGGAGTTTTAGGAGCAGAAGGAGCCTCGTCCTGCATGTCTCCCTCCAGTTCCTCATCCTCGTCACCGGCCATACCCAGATCCAGCTCGTCCTCCACGTCCATATCGTCACCCAAACTGTCCTCAACCAGGTCCTCAGCCCGAGACACAGGGGCTAAAGTGAGGCAGAGGAGGCCTACTGCCAGAAGAACGAACAACCCGACCCGTTGATCCATAGTCTGCAGAGAGAGAGAGAGAGAGGACGATGTAACAGCTGCTTCATGTTTGTTTTTACTCATTAGGGAAACTCTAAATCAGGCTGTTGTCAGGCTAAAAACATCATGTTCTCCTTAAGTTCATGTTGTTTTTATTCTATTCTTCCTATTTTACCTGTGAATCTTTTCCGACAAACAGTGAAGTTTTCCCGGATGATTTTTTTCTATAAACAGCTTCATAGTAACAAACGTCCTATTGTGTTTTGTATACTGACAAAGACGTGCTAATGATGTCCCTCCTGTATTAACACACATACACACACGGCTATTAACCTGCGTTGCCCTGGCACCAATCCATCGTCATGGAGAATGGCCAACCAAGACACAAGGGAGACGCAACCTCAGCTCTGTTTACCTTAATGAGATTACACCTCACAGGATTACTGCAGCACCCCACAACACACACACACACATTGCAGGGACCATTTACTGTGCACATTAACATTGTGGAGGCTGCAGGTTACTCATTACACACACTCAAACAGTAAGTGTGTAGATGAACAGATCTGCAGAAGTGTTACATCAACTTCCTGTGTTTACAGGTAAATAAAGCAGAGCTGCTTATGTAGAAAACGACCGCGTTTAAAATGATGATGTTATAAACGATAATAACAGATTACATCACTCCCTTCACATAGCTGCCTCTACCATCAGAATGTGAAACTGTGACCTGCGGTGTAAGAAGCACTTTGAGTAGTAATACGACCAGCGCTATACAAGCACAAGTCCATTTACCTGAATTTTAACCATTACCCATTTTTGGTCATTACAAACAAGAAATTACTTAATATTGGGTGCCTAGGACTTCAAATGTTGTTGCCGTAGTATCAAAACAGGAATCTTTAGGTTTGATGTTTACTAGAATTATAACCTAGTTTAAAATTGTGGTTGCATGAAGACCCTGTTTCAATATGAGAAATTAGACACGTTACAAAAGTCTGAATTTATTGCAATAAAATAACTCTGTCTCCTATGAACTGAATCAACTGTGATTGACAAATATTATTTAATTCCAGCTGTGTTTATTAAGTCAAGTTGGAATCACCAAAAAATTACACGTTCACTGATCTTAACTTTACAACAGAAGATTAAATAACAACCAGCATGAAACACATTTGAGTTTATTTTTGATTCAGGAGAGGAAGTTATAAACACAGGTATGACCTCATCAAATTAGTATATTAATTATTTCAATATTTGAAAAAAATAACATGGCTCATTAAATGTTTTCCATATTGTGCAGACATAATTCTATAACGCTGTGAGGCACTTAAAATTATTAGAAGTCTGAAAGGAGCAACAAAAGAAACGTCTCCTTTCATTGTAAAACGTGTGAGAACAACAGCAGTGCTGCTTCCCACAGTTAATGCCATATTATGTAAATAAAGTCACACAATGCATTGTAATCTATATTATTCTCAGGTTTCTTTACCACAGTGTTAACACAACACTTTGCGTTTTAAAATTTTTTTTACTGTCCGACTGATCATAAGGTATTCATGCAATCACAGTTGACATAGTAAGAAAAGGCTTTACATCAATACGCATTATTATTCAACTAAAAGTCCATTTTAAAATAATAAATATGATTTTCTTATTTGTCCCAAATTATTACTGGACACACTTTGGATAAGAAAAACAATGTGTTGGGTCTAATGTGTGAATTTAAACAGGTTCTCCCTATTTTAGAAGTATCCCCGGAGACTCCAGAAACAAAGACGGTATGAATGGTGCAGCTCTTTGTTCTTTAGCTCAGCATATTAACTCAGTGCACTTCTGTGCAGACTGCCAGTCTAATCAGATTAACCAGATTAGCATGCCTGGCTAACAGCCCTGCAGGGTAACGATGAGTGTGACAACCACCAATATTAGCTCTTAGCTTAGCATCAAAGCTGTCTGCCTGGCGCCCACATGGCTTTTGAAGGAATTTTAGCTGCGACGCCCAAGAGGAAGTCCTCAGTGTTTAATTAAAAATGTTGTTGTTAAAATTGTTTAATCCTCAATTGTATGTCTGCTGTCGTGTATTACCCTGTTTTGTGATTTTTCTATTTCTTTATAAACTTAATATGTTCGGAAAGCTGGAGAATATTAAATGCGTCAATTTGGATAAAAAGCTCAATTAACTAGATTTTTTTTTTTTTTAAACAGAATTTTATAAATGAAACAAAAAATTCAATTAAAGTATTCAACTTAATTAACGTATTGATACATTAATACTGCATTATATCCATGTAAAATATTAATTTACAGCACTTTTATTTAAGGGCTTGTATCATGGCATGTATTTAGTATGTATATTACCGTATTATTTAAAATTGATTAAAAATTTATAGTATTCAAAACATGTCTAATATCAAATCATGATATCGACAATAGAAAATTGACAGTCAAAATTAGCTTGAAAGTAATTTAAATGATTTTTTATTGTTAAACAACTGTCTTTTTTTTAAACATTTTACTGTTTTATTACAGTATCCCTTTATGTGTATTTTCAGATAACAATTGAGCTCTACAGGACAAAGGAAGACCATCACCGTTCTTTTCTTACATCCTGCAGAAGTAATAAGATTCAAGAGGCACTCTGATTGGCCGATAAGACAATAATCAGTGGAGTGAAACCAGCTGAAGTTTGGATTTATCCACACGGACTGACTGGAACAGCAGTGGAGTTACAGTCAGAGTTAATCTGATATTAGAGCGTGTTCAGCCTGCAGGACATATGCTGCTGCTGCTGCTGCGATTCACTGTCTGATAACAGCAACTGGACCAACGTTTGGACTGATAAGGAAACACAAAGAAGACTGAACCCTGACTGTCACAATAAATAAATAAAAAGCAGCTAACATTTATTCATCTCTTGGCTGTTGCTATCATAAGATAATCAATCTTTGAAATGTGATTAGTCAATAAAATGTCTAAACATCTAGATCACTGTTTCACAGAGACCCAGGAGACATCTTCAGAAGGTCTTGATTTACATTTGGATACATTTTTTTTTTTTTTTTTTTTTTTTAGAAAAACATGAAATTATCCCTTTAGAGAAGAAAAAAATGTAAATTTCTTCGGGATTAGACCAACTGAGACAATGAATACCGATCCATTTAGGTTGGCTATTAGTTCAAGTTGAGCTTGACATCCAGATCATTTTACAATGCAACTATATTTTACTCATTTATTTTAATAAATATTGTATTTAAGATAGCTAGCTAGATTTATAGTTTTATCTGAATCAACAAATGGAATGGTTAAATGTTTCATGCTTAACCAAACTTCTGTTCCCATTTATCTAACACACTTTTAAGTTCAGGGTGGAACAGCAAATCTATAATAATTAGATATAGTTGATGTGGTTTTAAGATACAAAAACTTACTAGGAAGATGACTCATGCAAAACTTGACATGACTGTAAATGTGGTTTTATTTGCTTTAAGAACAGCTCTTGTTGTGGTAGTTCATATGAGAACATTAATTGTCTTTTTAAATGTAAAAATAGCTTAAAAATAACTTTTCTGGTTAATTTGCAGGTAAATAGATTTTAAAATGAAAATAATCCTACATATGAGCAGTACTGTGAGCAGCTCCACTTCAGCATTTAACAGTGAAATGATCCTTTATCAGCCTGCATCAATTCCCCCAGCAGACAGGACGGGCAGGTTACTATTTAAACTGAAAGAAGCAGTGAGGAGGTCACTTCCTTTATGGAGGGAGCAATACAAACACTGAATAAACTACCGAGTTTCTCAACTACAAATCGGTCACTAATCTGAAGCTCCAGCGCTCACTTTTAAAAATGATTGTCTCGTTAAATATCGCAAATGTGTTTCTAAGATGGTTCTAAAACTCTTTTTTTCCCTTTGATGATTTTTTTTTTCAAATAAATTGTCAAAGTTTTAGATACTTAAATACATGTTTTAAAACAACAAAATCTGTTATCTCAATGACCGATAGTATTGAAAAGTACAGAAGCTTTAAAATAAAAAATTACAATCTTCAGTCATGTATACCGGCCAGAATGAGGTGGTCCAAGATAAAAAAAAAAAAGTTAAGTTTATAATTCTTACAAAGATAACAAGGTGTCACTGTCTAAATAGCAACAAAACATTGGCAACATTTCAGTGCCAATGTTTTTATGCACTTTAGACAGTGTGCATGAGATTGCCATTAAAAACAAGAAATTACCCAATATTGCATGCCAAGGACTTTTAATGTTGCAATAGTACTGAAACAGAAAGTTGAAAATGCTGGTATATTAACAACTGAAGTTTGCAATAAGATATCGAGAAATAAAACCGTCAGATTTACTTTCATGTTTTCAATAACAAAGGAGAAAAGCAGCTGTGACTCAAATTGTTGATTTATTCAAAAATCATTGTAGCAAGTGATTTAGCTTATCATGAATTTAATTGGAAGATTATAGTCGACATAGTACTAAAAATAATTTCTATGCCAGAATGTCTTAGGTTCAAAAACTAAATTAAGACTCCTCAATGTGCTGACATCATGTGTTTACGTCTTCATAGTGCACCTCAGCTGGAACCTTCCAGAAACCTGAATCTGAATCACTGTACCCACAGGGCGAGTTTCTCTCTGAATGACTGTTGATCAGAGCGGGTGGCGGTCTGACACCCTGCTCTACACCATAACAAAAACCAGCAGGTTTAACTGGTCAGACAGCTAAACGTGTAAGTCTGAATCTATAAATTACATTACCAATTAAGGTTTTTAAACCTGATTCTGACTTGGTTAAAGAGCTCCAAGACTATAACTTTCTTAGAAATGTGCTGGAAAGCCAAAGAAAAACACTAAACAAGACTCTTTCAATCAATTAGTCAAGGGAAGTTAATCAATGGCAGGGCAGGCAGCTTCTTAAATCTGAGGATTTGCTTCCTCAGTTTCTTTTTGAAGGCACAAAGAAAGTGTAAATTTATAGTTTCAGCCTGGATTCAGACCTTTGAAGCACTGCCAACATCTACAATGTTCTCTTCATTTC